GGGTCGTGTCAAAAGTTGACACCCCTACTCACCAAGATAATCTTGATATCTTTATTCTTCAATATGATGATTTGTTGGTATGATGTCATTGTCTCTATTGTAATGTTGTTGTCAAGCAATATTTGATTTTAGGGTTCAATGAGATACTTGTGGGGCCCGAAATCCTTTTTCCATGCTAGCTTGTCAATTTATTAAGGTGGTATAATATAAGCTTTGATCCTTGTTGTCATATGTCATCATAGTAGACCCAACAATTTATAAGAATGATGTATCAATGATAATGTTGTTGGGTTCATTTTGTTAAGAATATCAATTTGATTATATGACATCAGAGTTTAGATTATCATAAATTTAATTTTAGAAGTTTTTAATTTGGCCATGGTCTCAAGATTAATGCCAAATCAAATCAATTTTATATTATATATAGATTGCCCCAATTTTCTGATGTTGATTTATGTGTTATGCATCCCAAAATGTACATTAGATTTTTGAAAAAAATTATAATACAAAATTTTGATTTATAAAATAATTATTAGATGCGACAATTATTTTGGACGTCAGTTTAGATCTTCCATTGGAGCTTTGTACTAACTTAAGTATCCTCAATCACAGTTTCAACATTCATTAAGGGCATCTCCAACTGAAAGCTCATTTTTTACTCCATAATACAGTAAAACTGAAAAAATGCAGTAACTCATTTACAACCGAACTCTATTTCATAACATAAAAAAAAAGTTTTGGTTATCTTCTTTTTCATATCTTTTTTAACTCTAATTTTTTTATATTTAAAAAAAATGTTTATGAACAGTGCGACGCCAATATTTACATCACACTGTTCACCTAGCAAAAATGCTGCTGAATCTAGCATTCGGTTGGAGTTTGCAGCAGACGACAAACACTCGTTTGATATTCAATTAGAGATGGCCTAACGTTGGCGCATCAACTAGAGCAAAAATTGGCACATAGATATTGTTTCAAATTCTTTCAATTTTCTCAAAATTAGTTGTATAGGCTCCAATGAGTTTCAAAAATGAAATTAAGTTCAAAATTTCAAAAAACGATGCAATAGACATGTCAGACTCAAAATCATATACATATTGGGTCCAGCATGCCAGCAGCAGCGTGCGGGCGTACGAATTCATATAGTTTCTCGTAAAAGTATATAATTCTGAGTATGCAGAATTTTTATCTAAAATTAGAGCATAAAATTCTCGTTCTCTATCTCATAAATTTTATGACGCACAATAATAATTATATTTATTTTAAAATAAATTTAATTATTTTAAAGCTCATCATGATATAAATGTGATGAGAACATCTTAACATAAAATTTTTACCTCCGGCTCAACGGTCACATATAATGATATAACTCCAGTTCCGGTCCATAATGCCGACAGCTTACCCTATTATTATTATTTCCCAATTGGATAATTAATGGTCGACTCTCCATCGGGATTCGCTTTAAAGCCTAGATTACAATAAGCTCCAATAAACGCCTTTCATTTCAAAGGAATTACCGAATAAACCCAATTACAAATGCTTGAAAATAAGGGGACAGATGGCATATCCATTCGCGTTGCATTGCGGCAAGGCAACCTATCTCGGTGTGGAACTTTTATTCTATCCAGTGAACGTACGCAGAGGAAAGTTCGGTTTTAGGCAAAAAAGCGCCTGTACAGAGGTGTAAAGGCGCTTTTTTGCCTAAAACCGAACCTTCCTCTGCGTACGTTCACTGGATAGAATAAAAGTTTCTCGGTGCGAGAGTGACGCAGATGGAGCTTGAAAGTTTCTCATAATAATAATAATAATAATAATAATTATTATTATTATTATTATTTGAAAGTTTCTCATTATTTGTCTTCATGAAGGCATAATTTCTTTTAATTATTAATGATTATTTTTAAATGAGTAATTCGTATGTTTGGGTTACATTTGGCTAAACGAGAATGTACGCGAGTATCTCGACCACACTATGGCATATTTATTTGAGAAGTGATTGTACGTAGTCAATAAGATATGTTTTTTATCAGAGAAATACTGCATGTTTATTATATGTCAAGATAGTAGAATAACTGCCAATTACATGTTTAAATGATCATGATCTTGAACAAAGTGGATGTAAAACCCTTAAGTAAAAGAATCTAAACTCTTAAATATCGATGTGTCTTTTGATGTAATGGTTGAAATTTCATTAAGAAACTCCATAGTTAAGTGTGTTAATCTGAGGACAATTCTGAGATGATTGACCTACTGGAAAGTTACACAACATGATAAAATCGTGAGCCTCTTAGGCCAAAGCCGACAATCTCTCGATAATTAAGAATTTGGGTTTTTACAGTGGCCATCTCATCTATGATGTCAACAATGTCGAGGGTTAATTAATTCAATTAAACTAAGATTGTCGTAGGCACGAGTGAGAGCATGTTTGTGAGATAGTCTCAGGAGTTATAAGAGCGAGCAAAATAGAGTGACACTTATGGTGCATGAGAGGGGATGCTGACAGCCTGACACAATGAGTTGTGGGTGGGAGATCAAGCTAGCAAGCACTCAAAGCAAACAAGTGAATGTACAATCAAATAAGCGTAGCGAGGGTGCAAGCAATACAAGGGAGTTACGCAGAGATGCAAGTAGTTTTAGAGAGTTAGGTTAGCACTTGAGAAGGTTAGCACTTGAGAAGATGAGGAGAGGCATGGTAGTTAGGGTTAGTATGATTTCTTTATGATTAAAATGTTAGAACACTACAGGAAAACCTGTTATTACCGGCGGACGTAATCCGCCGGAAACAATGCACAATCCGACGGAACCGTTAGTTTCCGGCGCATGTTCCGGCGCAAATATCTCCGCCGGTTTATGGTGCGTCGATAATTTGTTCGGAAATTCCGACGGTAATCGCTTGTTTTCCCGTAGTGGAATTTGAAGGCCTTTAAATAGGCATGAATGTGACTGAAAAGATAGAAATAAATAGTCACAAAATAATATATAAATAAAAAACTATAGAAATGTATAATTTTTTTTGGGCATAATGAAAGCTTAAACTCTATTAATAAATACAGACGAAAAAATGGTTTGAATTACAACAAATCATTAAACAATTGATCTATCAGAACACTTATAATTTTTTTTACTTGTAGCTTAAAAATATTACCTAAAATGACTAAATAGACCGATTGAAAAAAAAAAAAAACACAAACAAGACAATAAATAAATAAATAAAGGGATGATCTCACGATTAAAACAAATAAAGCAATAGAATGTTGCAAATTAAAATTTAAAAACATTTATAACATAGCTCATAGCTACAACCAACTGGATAGTTATACAGTAGCCATTTAAGAAGGCTATAAAGACATCAGAAAGATTCATCATCCACAGCCCAAACAATTAGAACATCCAAAGAAGAGGCAATGTGAATTGAAATTTTGGATAGAAACTTTAATATCATACATTTTTAGCCCAATGTTTGTGGAGAAGGTTAGAATCAATGGAAGAGCTATAGTGGGGTTAGATTAAAAAAAAAAAAAAAGAAGAATGATCTGTTTTAATTTGTCGGAATCTCTAAATATCCATCAATACATAAATAAATCCAACAAAAGTAAATATATACTATACACATTAGCATTTTTACATATTCATTCTTACAAAATTTAATTTACAAAAGTCATGATATAACATCAAACATCAATCTACCTTTTTAAAGCTCGTGACTATAAATAAATAATCTAAAATATAGAAAAAAAAATTTAAAACAGTGATCAGCCTCACTCTAGAGGGGTCTGACCACTTCCCAAATATGAAATCAATAAAATCATATAATGAGCTTATAAATCTTTACAGGTTATTAAAATTCTTTCACTGCATTTAATGCAAGACAAATGAATCAATATGAATGCCTAATTTCAATCAATATCAAATAAAACAAACTATCAGTATGAATAATAAATAATATGTGCAATCAAGATCAATCAATAATAATAACTCAATATAATCAGTAAAATCATAGTGTCTTAATAAGCAAAAGGGAGTCTATCAATCTAGAAAAAAATCGAAAAAAAGTCTATAAATTAATAATTTGTGTTGTACAATGAAATAAATATCAATTATCTATTAATTATATTCATCATGATGATTATATTATATGTTTCTATCAATCACTATGTCATATATAGTTGTCTGCTAATATGTCATATTAGTATGCTATATCAATATGTTTATCAATGCATTTAATATCTAATTATATATTTATCATATGATATGCCATACTAAATCAATCTCAATATAATATGATATGTCATGCCTAGTGGGGATCATTCCCTTGAGCCTATACTTTAGCTCTGGTGTTAAAATATTTTTGTTATTTTATCATGCTCTATTTTGGTAGCCAATGAGGTGAGTTTATTCATGTTATTAGATGATTTAATGTATCTTTATTTTTTAACATTCATCTTCATTTGATGATAAATGATATAAAATATAAAATTTATTGATAATGAGATAAATATTGTGTTATTTATGTATGTTATATATTTGAATCCATGTTATTTATTTTCTACTTATGACAATAAATAAAGATAATTTATGCCCATATTAAAAAAAATCATGGCTCCATCACTAAGCTAGAATAGAATAAACGTTTAGGATAAAAAAAAATGTTAAGAAGGGTAGAGACAGATCTAAAAAAGTTTGATTACAAAATATTAGAAATAATATTTTTTTATTAGATTTAAATGAGAATTTAATTTTTAATAGGACACAATGGATTCCACGTATTAGGATAAAGATTTGATGTTGTTGTTGTAAGTATTAATCGTGAATAATTTTACGGGCTTTAGCAGAACAAATCGACGCACCTTTTTAATTAAATATCATTTTGAAATAATAATGCTAATATAATATTTGGTAAATAACTAAATATAGCAAAAATGATATTATTAATTTTCACGTCGGCTTAAATTATAAGGATTTTCTTACCAAATTCCGTTAAAGAAGAGGCCTTCGCGGAAAAGGGGCCACAGAAAAGGGGGAGAAAGACAGATCGGGCAGGAGATCTTTAGAATGTGAGGGGTTTGATTCTGCGAGGATTCTTGCCTTTGCTGCACAGATAGAGCAGATCACGAAATATCGGTGCGTATATTTATCATCACGCATTCCGCTTTTGTTTCTACTCTTATTCTTTATATATTCTTAGCCCTGATCAGAGCCATTTCTCCTTCTCACTCTTTATCTTCAACATGGATTCTTCTTCGTTCTCTTCTGCTTATGATCCCAAGGGAGAGGGTGATGCAGGTGAGCTTCATGTCTTGGCTGTTGATGATAGCGTCGTCGAGAGGCTGTTCTTGGAGAGAATGCTGAAGGATTCTGAATACAAAGGTATGGATTTCTTTTCATGCAATTAGTTTGAATGAATATGCTACCACTCTGAATATATATATTGATGATATGAAAGATTTCGTATTATTGTAGCTTTTATTTTTTGAAGGGATAACGGAGTGAGGGAGGAAGGAGGGATTCGTTGCAGATTGATTGTTCGTAGTTATTAGGAGTGATGCCTTTTTTTTTTAAATTTTTGTGTTTTTGTATCGAATTGATGATTCGGTACTTGAAATAATGGTAAAGAAATCACTTATGTAACATTGTAACTACTATAAAGACGTAGAAGATAATGGTACTTTGAGCTCGTTCTTTCTATCAGGAACTTATTAACTTATAAAAGAAAACTTAAAAAACAAAATTATATTCATCATAGAGGAGCTTCAATTTTGGAATTATAAAGAGGCGTATTGTTATAGCCTTGAGGGTTCAAAAGAAGACTGTTCTTTCTCCTCGTCTTTTAAAATCCTTCTTTCTTGTTTCTCTATTTTCTATACATTGTAGATTATTAAACATAATCATAAGTTGGATTGAAAAAACGGTCTACTAATTTTTCAAAACTACTATTTTTCTTCCATTTGGTGGGTTTCAGTAACCACAGCAGAAAATGGAGTGAGGGCACTGGAATACTTGGGTCTTCTTGGAGATGCAGGAGAAGGCGCCCAAAATAAAACAGTTAGTATTGACTTATCTTGCAACTCTGTTTCTTTTTCACTTACAGAATGGAATCATAATTAACATTGTAACACAATTTTATGCGAGAACTGTACTTGACAAATCCTTAGGGGTTATGTTTGGTTAAAAGTATTAGGAGTGTTCTATATTCCATCTGAATGCATTTTATACTTTTTGATGTTTGGATTAAAGCAAAAAAAATGTGAGTAAAATTTTTGAGTGATTTGAAATATCTCATACCCTTATTTTTGATGCTTTTGAAAATCTCTCGAATTAGCCTATTTACAAATCTCTTGTTTGTGCCTCCATGCTTATCGTTTCTATCGTCTTCCTCACTCTTGGCCTTGCTTGTCATTGTTGGCCTTGATTATGTTACTCCCTTCATCGTCAGTCTTGCCTGATTCCATCATCATTGTTATTAGTTGTGTCCTTTTTTTGTCACCTATCTCAATGGTTGTGCCCTTATCATCTGTCACCGTTGACCTCCTCCTAGCCCATTGCCTTCTCACCATCATCCTCCATGGAGTCCATCCATGTCAATCTTGGCCTCTTAATTTACCATCACCTGCCATGCTCATCCCACCCCATGCTGTCTTAGTCACCATCTTCATCAACCTCAGCTTCACCCATTGAATTCCTCTCGCGCGTCGCCACCATTGCCGCCTGTCTTGCCTGAGTTCTTCAGGGATAGAGAGAGTTATTTGAAATGTATGCTAACAAACAATAAAAAAAAATCATCTCAATTCATTTGATTCTGTATTCAACAAAATTATTCATAACATTTAAAATACAATGCATTTTTTTTTTCAATTCTGTGTTTATAAAATGCATTCATTTTAAACACATCCAATGTAATAATTCTGTTTTTCTATACAGACATTTCTTTGTGTAGAGTATTGACTAGATCAAATTGTACAAATAGTTATAGATATATACAAAGCTTTTCTTTTTCTAAAAATATAGCCGTTAACTTGTTTATCGTTTTCTACAAGTGAGCTAGAATACCCAAGTGATTGTAGCTCGGATATGGAGATTAATTTAACGTTTTTATTAGAATTTCAATTTAAAATTCTTTATATATTACATTGCATTCTTATTATGGTCTCTCTAAGTGGATTATACTGGAGGAAGAAGGCATATTAGTATATGATTGACATTATCTTATATGATCTGGTATGATTTTATTTCTTAGGACTTGAAGGTGAATCTGATAATTACGGACTACTGCATGCCAGGCATGACTGGCTATGAACTGCTGAAGAAGATAAAGGTATTACATTAATGAGATTTTGCTAAATGATTGGTGAAATCACAGTATAACATCTCAAATAAGGCATCTCCAACCGAAAATCTCATTTTTCACTCCCAAATGCACTGTAACAAAAAAAAAATGGTGTGATTCATCTCCAATCGAACTCCATTTTGCGCCCAGGTAACTATCTTTCTCCTTCGCGCATTTCTTCGACAAATCTGGTAGAGACAAAAAAATTGCGCAGGGGCGTTGCACTGTTTACCTGCAGCCAAATACCATAAGTTTTGCCGTTCGGCTGGAGCTCGCGAGTGACGCTATTCATGCTTTTGGAGCTCGGTTGGAGATGCACTAACAAATGAATGAAAAATATGAATTTAGAACACCGATCCCAAATAGATGGGATAAGACTAATAATTATAATGATGATGATTTACGTGCTTCAGTAGCATTTTTTATATGTAGCTATCCACCTAAACGCCAACAAGATATTTCTACTAATATTGATTATTTGGTCAATCAAACATTCTGGCTTGTCATAATTATTGCGTTCTAAATCATTACTTGTTGGGATTGGTCATTTTTGCTGGTTAAAGAAGTAAACTATCCAGGCTGGGTTTTGCTGAACCCTCTAACCCAACCCTTAAGTGATAAGATTTTATTACGCTTTTAGGCTTATGATAGAACCCTACTTGCAGGAAATATCATACTTAAAGGAGATTCCTGTGGTGATCATGTCTTCAGAAAACATCCCAACACGAATTGAGAAGTAATGCTCACTCTCTGCAATCATATAATTTCTTCCTACTCATTGAAATTAGTTATACTGGTAGCCTAATTCTAGTTCTATTATTTAATAGATGCTTAGAGGAAGGGGCCGAAGAATTCATGTTGAAGCCAATCCAACAATCTGATGTGAAGAGACTGAGATGCCATGTGAAGAGCCTCAACCAGCCTTCCCCTGGCAGGCTATGCCTGGGGAGATAAGAGAGCTTACTGCGATCTATGAAAGTTTTAATTTGTAGTTCTTTTTTCCTCATTTGAATATTTCATGGTTTAATCTTGTTTGTGAGAGTAATTAGACGGGACCTGACTAAGAAGCTTTGAAATAATTTGATGCATCATCAACTTTATCTGTTAGTGTTGTTTTAGTAAAGACAACCATGGAAATAAAGTTCCAGATTTCATGTTTGTTAAGACGCCTGTGAAAAAAGAAGTAAAAGCTTGCCTGTAAAATAAAGATTTGCGGAACGTTTAATGTGCAAGTTAAATGTCATGTGCGTATGTTTAACGTGCAATATACATCAGCTAGTGTTGTTTATAGGTGTTTGGTAAACTGTAAAATCATTATTAAGGGGGTGCATGGGAAGTAACTTCTAGTGTAATGAGCAACTTTCCTATGCTTGTTCCCCATATTTATTTATTTTGGTAGTTTGAGTAGGGGTGTCAATTTTTGACACGACCCGAAACACGACCCGAACTCGACCTGGAAAAATCCGGGTTCGGGTCTGTGATGCCCCAAGATCAAACTTGGAAAGAATGTCAATCAATTACTCAAACAATTTACCAGAGTTATCTAAAACTTTCGATTAGACAGTCCATCAAACATCTATAAAATTTGATTTTAAAATTATTTTCTCTCTCATCAAAACGAGCTGATTTCTTTAAATCAGTTGTCTGATCGGCCCGGCCGATCGCCAAATCGTCCCGGGACGATCAGACCAGAAAAATCGTTCTGGACGATTCCCAGAACTATTCTCAGGCTGATATTGTCTACAGTGCCAATCGGCCTGGACGATTTCCAATCGTCCTGGACGATCCTGAGAGGAAAAAATCCAAATCTGAGAGGAACAGTAAGGGAACGACGTCTCACAGGGTCAACCCGAACCCGAAACGGGTCGGGTTTGGGTTGAACAAATCAACCCGTTTTAAAAATCGGGTCGGGTTCGGGTTGACCCAGCAACTCGAAATTGACCTGAAAGTGACACGAAAACTCATATTTGACCCGAAAACCCGAGATTGACCCGTTTTTTATCCGATTTTGACCCAAAAATTAGCAATTTTAGGTCAACTTCGGGTCATTCGTGTCGGGTTGGGTTGACCCAGACCTGAATGGGGTCGGGTTCTAATGGGGTCGAATATTGACCCGAACCCGACCCGCTGACCCGAATTGACACCCCTAAGTTTGAGGGAATGAGAACATGGTCAGGTTAGCCTTGTACTCTCTTCATGCAGGCTTAGGTCATCTCCAACCGAAAAATTCAATTTTCACTCTAAAATACAATAATACTTCAAAATATAGGAACTCATCTTAAACCGAACTCCATTTTTTAATACAAAAAAAAAAGAGAAGAATATTCTGTGTATATTATTTATTTATGATACTTTATTTTATATTTATTTTTAATCATATATTTAATTTATCAATTTTTTTAATTAGACTTACTATAATTTTTAATATATATATATATATATATATATATATATATATATATATATATATATATTGCTTGATAAAATATTTTGAAATATTAATATGTCCTAATTAAACAAACATTTATTAAATAAAATGAAAATTACATTAGAACACATGAATAGGGACGAAAGAAAAACACAGGCAACTAAACATTCGAATTAGTATATTAATCACACAAATGATCAATAAAGCATTTCAAAGTGCGATGTTGGGATTTTTATTTCTGATTTGTTTATGGTGAGCGATAAATTCTTAAAACCGAGTCTTTTTATCCAACACCATTTTGACCTCCAAGGGTGGCGCTTCTCTCGCAACTTGAACTGGTCCACTTAGATTGAGTTTATCTTCGATTATCCTGTTATGTAAAATTATGCATGTAGTCATTATATCATGTAGCACTTCTTTGCTCTAAAAATAAATCGGTCTTGCCACAATTGTGAAACGGGATTGGAGAGCACCAAAAGCATGTTTTACATATTTTCTACATGTTTCTTGTTTCATTGCAAAATATTATTTCTTTGGAGTATATGGTTCTTGAAGAGTTTGCATAATGGACTATTTTGGATATATATTATCAACAAAATAATAATCTATGTTATACTCTTTTTCTAGAATGATGTAACGATATGGAGGAGCTATAACTTGACTAAGATTGGATAATATGTGAGAAGACTCCAACACGTTTATATCATTATTGGTGTCTGATTGTAATAACTTGTAAGTCAAAATACAAGTTATTACACTGGTATACCGAAGTAAGCATTGAAGAAGATGAAGAACAGCTGAAGTAGAGAGAAATAATATTTTGTATATTGTGTTTCAATAGCAGTGATACAAACCTATATATACTAAGGCTCCCGGGTTGTACACGGGTTAACCCAAGAACCTAAAACATGTTTAAATGAATATTACAATTAACCTAAGCTAACATTCCCCCTCAAACTGACAAATAGGTGCAATTGTTAGTTTGGATCGGAGAAGTTTAAATCTAGCGGTCGTAAGCGGTTTAGTAAGTATATCCGCAATATGATCGATCGTGCTAATATGTAGCAACCGGATATCCTGTTTTTGGATGTGATCTCGGATGAAACGTTGATCGATTTCAATATGCTTGGTTCGAGCATGAAAAACTGGGTTGTTGGCTAAAGCAATTGTAGACATGTTGTCACAAAAGATGTCCACCGGTGAGTCATGAGTGATACCGAAATCTGCTAGGAGACGCCGAATCCAAATTGTGTCCGCTGTTGCGGAAGCCAAAGCTCGGTATTCGGATTCAGTGGACGATCTTGAAACTGTGGTTTGCTTTTTCACGGTCCAGGAAACTATGGTTTTGCCGAGAAATGTACAGAATCCTGAAGTAGATTTTCGGGATACTGGATCGGAAGCCCAGTCTGAGTCGGAGAACGTGTGAAGCCGAAGGTCCGATCGAACAATAGGTAGACCGAATTCGAGCGTCCCTTTGATATACCTCAGCAATTTCTTGAGTTGAGAAGAGTGAGATTCGGACGGATCGTGCATGTGTTGAGAAAGCGAGTTGACCGCGTATGCTATGTCCGGTCTCGTTAACGTCAGATACTGTAGTGATCCGATGAGCTTGCGATACATAGAGGCGTCAAAAGACTCCGCGTCATCTAATTTTGCCACTGGAAGTTTTGTAGAAGATGGGTTAGAGACCGAGTTGCAACGTTGCAACCCGGCCATTTGAACTATAGAATAGGCGTAAGCTGATTGGGACAGAATGTACTTATCTGGTTTGGTGTCGATCTTGATGCAGAGGAATTGATGAGCGATACCCAGATTTTTCGTAGTGAATCGAGAATTGAGTTGAGACGTGAGTTTTGTAATGGCTTGAGAATTATTTCCGGTAAGTAGAATGTCGTCAACATAGACGAGCAGGTACATTTCAATGTTGTTTTGCCGGAATACTAGAAGAGAAGGATCCGCTTGACTATGTGTGAAGCCGAGTTGAATGAGAAAAGTTGTGAAGGTGGTATACCACTGTCGCGGAGCTTGACGAAGGCCGTAAATAGCTTTGTTCAGCCGGCAAACATAGTCAGGATTTGTTGAATCTTCAAATCCTTTGGGCTGCCGCATAAATACGGTGTCGGTGATATTGCCGTGAAGGAAGGCGTTTGCCACGTCGAGCTGATGTACCGGCCATTTGTGGAAGAGAGCAATAGTGAAAAGAATTCGGATCGTTGGTAGCTTTTCTACGGGACTGAACGTGTTGAAATAGTCAATCCCATGTTCTTGTTGATTTCCAAGAGCAACGAGTCTAGCTTTGAAGCAGGCTACTGAACCGTCTGAAGAATGCTTAGTTCGGTAAGTCCATTTTGAGCCGAGAACTGGTTTGTTGATAGGAGGAGGGACCAACGTCCATGTTCCTTGTCTTTGAAGAGCAAATAATTCTTCAGCCATGGCCTTTCGCCATTCAAAATTCTTGCTCGCTTCTGTATAAGAAGTCGGGTCGGTTTGCTGTTGTTCGTGATGAAGTAAGTTAAGTCTAGTAACAGGTTTTAAAGATCCTGTTTTGGCCCGAGTTGTCATGGGATGGACTTGGATGGTGTTAGAACATGGCCGAGTGATATCTTGTTGGAGAATAACTGGTTCGGGATTAATAGGCGGCGGGATTGTCAATTCGACAGGCTCAGGTAAGGGGTGTGTGGAATGAGACACTGCTTGTCCCTGATGAGCCGTAGGATAGGGAACCAGTAGCGATGGCGGGAGATCCAGAGAAGCTATATTTGAGTCGAGCGTGTTCCTGTTTAGAAACGGAAAAGAAAACTCGTTAAATTTAATGTGTCTCGATATTATTGTTTTATTTGTTACCTGATTGAGGCATTTATAGCCTTTCATAGTATCAGAATACCCAAGAAAGGTGCAAGGTGAAGATGTCGGAGATAATTTGTTGCGTTGAGTAGGCGGATTGAGTGGATAACACTCGCATCCAAACGTCCGAAGATGAGTATAAGAGGGAGTAATACCGAACATGCGTTGGAGAGGCGAGTCATAGTTCGTTGTAGTTGATGGCATACGGTTTATAAGATAGACTGCCGTATTAGCGGCGTCCATCCAGAATGTCAGAGGTAAGCCGGCGGTGTGAAGAAGAGTGCGAGTTGTGGAAATTATGTGACGGTGTTTGCGCTCCGCAACACCGTTTTGCTCGGGGGTGTAAGGACAAGAAGACTGATGGATTATGCCCGCCTGAGCAGTGAATTGTTTGAAGGAATGATTTATGAATTCGCCACCTCCGTCTGTGCGTAAAATTTTGATTTTACGGTTCGTTTGACGCTCAATTTGCTTGGTGAAATTAATAAAAATGCTTGTTACATCAGATTTAAAAGTAAGCGGAAAAAACCAAATATAACGAGAGAAATCATCTACAAAAATTACATAGTATCGGAACCCTTGGTTAGACAGAACCGGGGATGGTCCCCAAATGTCTGAATGCACCAGTTCTAATGGTGCTTAGGTTCGACTAGTAGAACGATCAAAAGTGAGTTTATGTCCCTTACAAGAAAGACAAGAGTTACAAATTAAAGGTAAAGTAGTAATGTGTAAACTAGGATTGGCATGAGAAATTTGCTGAAGAATGCGATGATGGGGATGGCCAAGCCGACGGTGCCACAGTTCTTTGGATGCCGAGGTAGCACACAGAGCTGTGGAGTGATCAGACTCAGGCCGAGCTGCGAGCTTGTATAGTCCGTCTTTACAAGGTCCTCGAAGGAGGATTTGCTTGGTCACCCGATCCTTAAAGACAAAGCCGTTATTGTCAAAAATGATGTTAATCGGATTATCTTGAACCAATTTTGAAATGGATAGTAAGTTATAAGATAAAGAAGGAACATGAAGTAAACGAGAGCTATTTGAAATAGCGAAACCAGTCTCGCTATTTTTTCATAAAAAAACTAGCTTCACGAGAGTACTTCGCTTGTGTTGTGCTGCTTCTCGAGCTTATGTCAATAGCAACTTACTGTTGGGGGTGGGAAGGATTCCCGATCCCGAATGGGCAATCAGGATGGACCTTCCGTCCCCAATAGTTACAGAGTCGTTTCCGGAGTATTCGTTGTATTCATCTAATCGTGAGATTTTGTTCGTCATGTGAGAGGAAGCTCCGGAATCGATGTACCAATCGTCCGACGGGGTGCTTGTATTGTTGACAAGCAGAGCATTGTTGTTCTTGTTTGTTGTCGACGTTGGAGTGTAGTTGATGTTCAAACGATGCCAGCAAGAATCTGCCATGTGACCGCGCTTCTTGCAGATTTGACAAGTAACGATCGTGTTCGCTGACTGTTTGTTCGGCGGAGCTGAATCTGTCGGAGGACGAGTGCGAGGGCGTCTGCCTCGTCCTCGACCCGCGTATAGAGCGGCATTTGAGTCCGGAATGGTTGGAAATTTTGAAGCAGCTGCTTTGAGATGAATCTCTTCACTGATCAAAAGAGCATAGAGAGTATCGAGAGATAAGGCATTTTGCATTGTGCGTATGGTGGTGGTGAACGATTGATACGCCGGCGGTAGCCCATTTAAGATGTAAATCATGACGTCTTCGGAATCGACAGACGATCCGGCGGACGAGATTTGATCCACGATTTTCTTGACCTCGGTGAGGTATTGCATCATGGACAGATTTTGCATGGAGATATTGTGTAGTTCATGCTTGAGCTGGATAACCTTCGATCTATTCGATGATTGAAATCTTGTATGAAGAGTGGACCATATCTCATAAGTCGATTCGAGTTGAATCACGTACGGTAGAACCGGGGGAGAGATCGTGGAACACATCGCCGTTGCGAGATTTTGATCCGTAATCGACCAAGAATTGCTATCTTGGTTCGGATTTGCATTCTCGACGGATGATTTTGGTTCAAGAAATCGAGCAAACCCGTTTGCTTTGAATAGTTTTGCGATTTGGGTACTCCAAATCGGAAAGTTGTCCGGCGTTAGTGAATGAGGAACAAGAAGTTTGAGATTCGATATTACGAATTTGAGTGACGGAGAGACGCCGGGCGTGGAAGTTGCTGCTCCGGTGGTGTCGCCGACTGCCGAGATGGAGGTAGAAGAAGAATTCGCCATTGATCGGCGCTGGTCGCAAAACCAAGAGACTCTTGATACCATGAAGAAGATGAAGAACAGCTGAAGTAGAGAGAAATAATATTTTGTATATTGTGTTTCAATAGCAGTGATACAAACCTATATATACTAAGGCTCCCGGGTTGTACACGGGTTAACCCAAGAACCTAAAACATGTTTAAATGAATATTACAATTAACCTAAGCTAACAAGCATGTCATATCCAAAGATCATAATTTATTATGGCTTCAAGAATAATTGTAGGTGATCCAGTACGTCCTATGTATTGCCCAACTCTCCCGGTAGAACAAAATTTCCACTTTTAGTGCATACAATCTAAACTGTCCAACATTTCTTAAAAAACACGTTGTTCAATAATGTGGATAAGTCTAGTCACATCATTGATTGTTGGTGATCTTAAATATTGCTCTCAAAATATCTGCATTATTGTTCGACAAAATTTCTTCACACTTTTAATTGTTATTGATTCACTTATTCTAATGTACTCGTCTATGACATCTGCTGGTAGTCCATATGCTAGTATATGAAGGACGGATGTTACTTTATGAAGGGGTGATAAACCAAGCTTACTGGTGTGATTCATTCATTCGTGGAAGTAGTTATCATGTGCTTTACTGCATCAATTACATATAGGAAAAATGTTAGAGACAATCTATATCTTCGTCAAAACATTGTATCATTATACAATGGTTTGTTTTAGAAGTAATCTTGAAACAATCGACAATTTGTAGCCTCATGTTACGATTGATAAAAACATGTCTTATAACTTAGCCTCCCGTATAAATGTGGTTAATAGGTCTTGTAAGCCTATAATAATTCCAAATGTCAAAGTTGGGAGAGGTGTTCAAAAAGATTTGTTTATTTGCATATTCATATTATTAAAAAAATAACAATGAAGATGCACACATGCATTCAACATGTTAAAAATAGACAAATTAGTGGTACTTCAAATAAAGATATTGTGAGTATTAATTATTTTAATTTTAAGAATATGTCTTTTTTATTTCACATCTTATTTTATTATAATTGTAACAAAGAAGATTGAAAGCTTAATCATGTGTGGAACATTATTAAAAATTTTAAAAATTTTCAAAATGGCCAATCTAGTGCTCGACAGGCATCTCATATGTCGAGCTTTGGTATGACTAATGACTCATCAGAGTCAGAAAATCTAACCCATGAATATGCTAAAAAAACTATCTCTTAGAATCTATGTTTTCTCTAAATTTAGATGATAAATAATATTATATTTGTGGCTCTCAATTTGAACGATCTATTGGGATGAAGAAGGTCAAATTAAAAAGAAAAATTGTTGAATAGATGCCAATCTTTATTAATATCCTGGAAGATGAAAATAAACAATTTATTGAGCAATTAAAAAATAAGTGCGTAGAGACAACATCATTTGGTGTTTCAAACTAAGAACTATGACTTGAAATAACTCAAGGAAGAAAATAAAATCTTGTTTCAAGACTTAAGATCCATACAAAATGCTAATGTGAGTGCATTTGTTCAAGTTGAACAAGCAAAAATTTTACAAAAGTGGTTCAACGACAACAAAATCAATTACAACCTCCTTCAAACTCATTTGGAAAATATTTCAGTTATCTTAGAGGAACTGATACCAATCTTCTAAATTATTAAATTGTAAATACTAGTTATTTTAATTTTTGTTCTCTGAACTTTCTGTATTTGATTTTTGTAATATTACTCAATATCCTATATATATATATATATATAATTGTATCTTAATTTATATTTTAATATTGTATCATAAAAAATTAATTACGTAAAAAAATATTTTAAGCTCTAAAAAAAAATGTGTCCTATTGTGTTGAGTTGTAACAGACAAATCCAAAGATCTATTTTGAAATTGTTTTAGATTTTTTGTCAATATTCATTGAAAAAAAAATGATAAATTACAGAGCTACTAAAAGATTCAACTAATGAAAATCTCATATATAAAGTTTCTTTCATTTCATCAAAATAAATATCTAGACTACAATTTATGACTACAAACAAGGTGTACAGAACTGAAAATTTTACTAGTCATGACTGTACAAAAATCAAAATAAGAAATTACCTAAGACCTCAAATTTGATCATGAACTGCTAGTTCACAACCTCCTTTCCTTTCCCAGATTCTAAAAATTAGATGTAAAATCACAATGAGCTACAATAGCTTAGCAAGTCACACAAACCAATCTAAATTTTCAAATAATCTTTTATCAAATATTTTGTTGAATATTTAAAGCATTACATATTTGGTTTGAGCTCACTTATTCTCCAGTCTACATGTATTAAACTGAGCTTTTTTTGGTTACATTTGTAAGTTTGTAATTATTTATTCTTTATGGTAATTAATTTTTCTTTATAATAATTAATGGGCATTGCTCTTAAATTTTTCAAAAAAAAGAAAGAAAAGAAAAGAAGTGTGAGTACGAGAATGGTTTGCCAGTTTTATTGCATTGGACCAATTTCAAATTGCTTCAGAATATTGTTATTATTATGAATAAAGAAATATTTATTATACCTGAAATATGAAAATAAACAATTGTGAATAGACGCCAATCTTTATTAATACCTAGAAGATGAAAATAAACAATTTATTAAGCAATTAAAAAAATAAGTGCGTAGAGACAACATCATTTGGAGTTTCAAACTAAGAACCATGCCTTGAAAGAACTCAAGGAAGAAAATAAAATCTTGTTTCAAGACTTAAGTTTCATTCAAAATCCTAATGTGAGTGCATTTGTTCAAGTTGAACAAGCACGAATTTTACAAACATGGTTCAGCGACAACAAGATCAATAACAACCTCCTTCAAACTCATTTGGAAAATATCTCCGTTATCTTAGAGGAACTGATACAAGTCTTTTAGATTTTTAGATTGTAAATACTAGTTATTTTTATTTTTTGTTCTCTGAACTTGTTATGTATTTAATTTTTGTTTTTTATTTTATTGAGGAATAATATTACTCGATATCCTTTATATATATATATATATATAATATGGATATCGATTATGCTTAAAAAAAAAAAAAGAAAAAGAAAAAAAAAAGAAGAAGAAGAAGTGTGAGTACGAGAATGGTTTGCCAGTTTTATTGCATTGGACCAATTTCAAGTTGCTTCAGAATATTATTATTATTATGAATAAAAAATATTTATTATATTTACAATGAATAATATAAGTAATATAAAATTTAAACAAAATAATATAATTTTTAAAGCGCTCGTAGCCATAGAACTGGTCTCACTGCCCGCGCCCAAAACGGATAAAACTCAAAAACTAGCAGGCAAAGCTACAGCGGCTAATGGCTTCACTTCACTCATACTCCTCTCTCTCTCCTCTCTCCCCATCTCCTGACCACTGCCCAATCAAGCCTCCCTTCATCCCCTTCGTTTCCCGCACCGTTGCTGTTCTTAACCTAGGCTCGGCACCGGCGGAAGAAGGGAAAAATCCCATCTCTAGTGCTGTTTCTGGAGGCCGAGAGGGAGGCAGGGACCAGCGGAGGGCAGTGAGAATTGCTTGGGAGAAGCTGGTTCGCTGGTCCCGCTCGTGGCGCTCTAAGGCCAGGAGCGACGTTCTCGAGCAGACGAAGAAGGTAGAGGGATTAGACTTTTGGTGGATTCATGCGAGTAGATTATGTTTGGAGTGGATTCTTAGGGGTTGTTCTGATTTCGATGAGTAGGTTGCGGTTCTTGGTGGGGGATCCTTTGGTACCGCAATGGCAGCGCATTTAGCGGGTAAGAAGGCCGAGATGGAGGTGGCTATGCTTGTCAGAGATGAACAATGTTGCCATCTAATTAATGAAACTCATCACAATTGGTGAGAGGTTTTGATGGATTCTCATCTTAGGTTTTCTGCCATTTTTGTTTTTTTTTGATGAATTTCTAAATGTTTTTTTTTCTTTTGTTTTCACCCTAAAAATTTCAATTAGTATGCCTTGCCGTATTTGTTGCATCTTGGAATGAAAGATTATTCCAGTTAATCAAAATTTAAATATATGGTTGTGATGCAGTGAGCCTCATTTTCGCGTTCTACAGTAAATGTGATAAATGCAATAGATACTCAAAATAAGTCGTGCCTTCTTTGCTAGTCAAACGACTATAACAACAATACATAAATAAAATTTCCTTGAGGTATGACATGAATCATATCACTTGTTGATGCATCTGATTGATTTTGGAAAATTCATAATCATGACCTTCTTACAACCCTTCAAGGTTGTTTTTGGATTCGTTTTCCTTTAATTTATGTTGTGCATTGCTTGGGCAAGAAGCCATATGTAGGCATATGCAGAAGAAATTGTTACATGTGGAGTCTGGGTGTAGCTCTGCGTCCGGACTCCAATGAAATTATGATATGTGGATTTTACACGTGGATTTCTATATATTTTTTCTTACAACCCGATGACTCGACCCGATCCAGAGGTGAAATTTTAAAATCGTGAGATGAAATTTTAAAATCGCGGCAGACCAATAGACTGTTCAATGTTCAATGTTGACTTGCAAACAACCAACCGACACTGATCCATAATCACACGATCGCACGATAGCTCCCACGTCACTAAAGCTATCGCCGCCTCAGTCGTGTAAAAGGAACAAAGAAATAAAAGAGGGACTTACGCTCACTTGCCATAGGAATTCCTGGTCGCTCTCGGCATTTCTCGATTTTTGTTGTCAACTCCTCTCAATGCTCGAATTTGAATCTTGCTCCCGATTGCGGCATCCACACGCTTCGATCCTGTGATCAACGTGCAAGTTGGCCGCCTCCCTGTAGCCCTTGCAATTGCAAACTCTAACTACTGTAACTATTGGTCACGAACACCTATAAACAAGTAAACAAAAGTTAGTACAAAATAAATAAAATTAATGCTGTAAAGAGTAAAGCTAACTATTGAAATTAACTGCTAAAGCAAGTACTGAAAGAAAAACAAGATACTGTAGGAGAACACTACTGTTGGACTAGTAAACAACCGAAAACTACAATCTAATGTCACACTAGCAAACAACCACAAACAAGAACCTCTACGAGTATAATCCAACTTACCCTAAACATACACCTATGAGCCACTTCTAATGAAGCAGTAAGTCCCATGCATTGGGGAAATAACCCTAAAACCATTCACACAGAATGCCAGACAGCTTAGCTTATAAGGCTAAGTTGTAAGACCTACCAACCAACAACTTCTAATAGAAGCTATAAGTCTGACTTCTAGGGAAAATATCTATGTAGCAACCTAACCCTATACCCCTTTATAGGCTACTGCAAATTGAATCCATAAGACCCGCTACACGGGCAACTTCCAAGCGAAGTCGTAAGACCCGACCTGAATCCAAAACACAAACAACTCCTAAATGGGGTTATAAGACCTAACCTAAATATAAAAAAGTGCGGGAAACTCTTAAGCAAAGTCATAAGCCCCAACCTAAACCAAACCAAATTAAAATTCACATCTCTTTGTTTTAGTTTACTCGGGATTCCTGAGAGGAGACAACCAATGATTGCTAATTAGATTCCCTGGACACTACAATCAATGATTGTTAGCATTGGTAGACTAAAACCCACGGTATACCTAGGACGACGGAACCATAGGATCTTGATCGGGTGTACCTTCATTCTCCCAATAACCAAAACTAAAACACTTGCATACTAAAACACTTCTTGCATAATTAAATATTATTTCATCCTTAATCGAGAGAGCTTTTTTACGCGTTAGAATGGGTAATTAACTATGAGGGTTTGGGCTCATAGTAAGTGAAACCTCAGAACTAAATAAACCTTAACACTACCTTCAAGAAAAATATGGTTAATTTAAATTCCAATCTACCTCGGGAATAATGGAACTTAAAAGCCTAAGATATCGAGGGTTTGTGTGTTAGCGCAACTTTTCAATTTTCTGAGGGTGAACATTCAAGTCTTCATGGATGTTTGCATATCACCGTTCAGCCTCTGCATCCTATGAGCAATTCATCTCTTCGAAGAATGTAATGTCCTTCAAACCAGTCCTCATATTCATCGCATGTTTCTCATTTTTTTCTTAGCATCAAAAGTTTTATTCCGCTAAAATCCTAAAATTTGAGAACCTTTTGCGTGTTTTTTTCTTAAAAACAAGCGCCAATTGAATTTGCTGGGGCGAGTCGCCAGGTCGTAAGAGAGAGAAAAAAAATTAGAAATTCACGTGTCATGCTTTCATTGGAGTTTAAACGCAGAGCTATGTCCGGACTTTATACGTTATAATTTCTCCATATGTTGAGGAAGTGTTGGTTTTTTTTTTTTAAAGTTTTTTAAGTTCTCAATTGGTACGAATGTCTTGCAATTTGTAACAACAGTAGTGATTGTTCCTGTTCGTTTTAATTTATTTTAAATTTATCTTTTCAATTTACTGCAGCAAGTACTTCCCTGATTTTAAGCTTCCAGATAATGTAGTGGCAACCACCAGTCCAAAGGATGCTTTACTAGGAGCTGATTTTTGTTTGCATGCTGTGCCAGTTCAGGTGATCGAAAATTTAAATTGTACTATGTGATATTGAAGTCTTAGTCCATATGTGCCTTAAAGGCTGCTTGATAATATTAAGTTCTTAAGTTTGTTGAATCAATGTGCTTCAATTCTATTACCGGTGTCTTGTTATTAAATATCACTCTATGAATCTTTAGCAAAAGAACTTACTGTTATTATATTATGGCAGTTCAGTTCGTCATTTCTTGAAGGAATTTCCTGGCATGTTGATCCAAATCTGCCTTTCATCTCTCTTAGCAAAGGCTTGGAATTAAATACCTTAAGGATGATGTCCCAGATAATCCCTCAAGCACTAAAAAATCCTCGCCAGCCATTCATTGTGCTTTCAGGCCCTTCTTTTGCAGTGGAACTGATGAAGAAATTGCCTACAGGTTCATTTGATATTTTAGACTGCATTAGTAGTATTTTCTGATATTCTGGCAAGAGTGGAGAGTTTGAAGCATGAGATAGTTTATCAAGATTATGCAAGTTTAATGGCTGCCTTTACTCGTACATTGTTTTCTTAGTGCATATTCTTAAATACTAGTGACTGCTGGGTCAGGGTTTTTTAATCAATTATTCAGAACTGCTTTTGGTTTTAGGTTCATATTTTATTTCAACTTGCATAACATTATTATACACATTTTGAATCTTGTAGCAATGGTTGCGGCTTCAAAAGATAAAAAGCTTGCAAATGCTGTTCAGCAACTGTTGGCTTCCCCTAATCTGAGGATAAGCTCGTCCAGGTGGATAACCTTCTTTTCATTTCATAAGTTTGAATTTATTGAAAGCTGCACTATTTCGTTTCACATTGTTCCTTTTGTTATAACTTCCTTCTATGTTACTTTTTTGGCTTTAGTCATCCGTTTTTGCTTTCCCTGCATGCAAAAAATAAAGTTTAAATTTTTTGTTTTTGGGTTTTCTACGGAAACAAACTGTCACAAGGATGAGAAGTATACATCTTCTGATATTATTTTGAGCCTACTTTGAAAATCAAGGAAAACTAGGTAGATGAAAAACCTTTGCTTCATCATTACACTTATTTGCTTGATTAGACAATTCGGTTTGAGACATGTAGACTATACTTAATATTGGACGCTCGAATGTTCATTTCTACTTTCAAAAGTCGGTACTAGCTGCAAGTTTGACGCTAAATCTTTTCTAATTGTTTCATCCGGTTTAAACACATAAGAAGATCTAAATCTCACCACTGAAACTCAGATGTTATATGTTTAGATGTAATATAAACAGAACTTTGGCATTTTGATATCAAACACAGGATCTGTTGTGATTCACTGATTCAAAGCATTCAGAGAGGTTGAATAAACCATGAATTATTGCTCATATTTTTGGAATCAAATGGACTATAAATGGCACAAATTAATAATAAAAAATGAGCTTTCAATCACGACAATTCCAACGACAACAAGAATGCCAAATTCAAGCACGTTATTGTGTGCGCTAATTAGTAACTTCACTAATGATGACTATTGTCAGACCACTGACAAACTTTTGCTATTCATTGTTGACCCTAAATCACTCGGTTAAGCATGTGTAGTCATTTTTTTAATCAAGGGAGGGCATTATTTGGTCATTAATGGTTGTTAAGAATAGAGAATATTCCAGTATAATTCTTTATATCGATTGAAATGCCCCCTCAAAATTTATAAATAATTCTCCCCATTACACACATTATGAACTACTGAATCAAAAGGAATTCCAAAACTCTAATCACATCAAGAATCTCATCGGCTATTGGTGTTCTTGGATCCTCTTCGAACCATCAATTCCAATCATCTTGATGACCCTTGCCGTCTAGGAGTATGACTATCCTATTCATGTCTAATCAAATACACCATTGTTCTTTACTACCTCAAATCTTTGATAATTTTGATCGTCTTGCTTGCATGTCTTTCTAGGAGAACTATTTATGAACAACTTTCATAGTTGCCAACATCAGTACCTTTGAATTCGTATTCTAGAAAAGTGGACTTTTTTCATATTTTAGGCCTTTTATATTATATTGGCATCTTCTATAATTTATGGAAAAGATGATAAATTGAATTCTATATTATAACCTGTTTGTGCTAGGCCCCATTATTGAATCCAAATTTGTTTCTAGGTGATAATCAAATGTTACTTGCAAGATTGACTACAAAAAATAGAGAAGTAGAAAGAGAAAGAGGTAGAAAATAAGAGAGAAGATCTATGATTTTATTTTTCATCAATAAAAATATTGAGACAAATAAATTATTGGCTCGCCCCCCTATTTATGGGTAGGAGTCGAGGCAAGACTAAATTACAAGAATTGCATTAAAAGAAAAATATATGAATGAAATAATATTGTCTAATAAAATCTTGTCGTAAAAAGAAAATATGATAATTATATATCTTTAATTACATGAAGTATGCATAAAAACTTTCCAAATATAAGATGAGCCCATGTATAGCCATTAATTGATATAGTCTAATCTGATTGACGTATGAGATTGATATCTTTTAACCAATTGAGTTGACTTGAGCTAAGTATGAACAATTTGGGGCATACATTTAGTTCTCCAATTTTTATGTTTCTTTTATGAAATCTAAAAGAATATGAAAATTAATATATCAAAGTTCATCTGCCCAAATTAATATCCAAAAATGTGTTGAATAGAAAAATGTCCAATAACATGTTGAAAAATGTTCGAGTGGCTTCCAATTTGAAAAATTCCTCCAAGTGTCACTTGACCTTTTATCTCTTATTTCTTTTAACTAAGTCGACGCCTAAGATTGGTCTCACCTTTCCAAGGCTTCTGTCTTCACAGGGGTAGCCATCTAGACTCACCGCTTGAGTCTAAGTTTAAGTCACTTTGATCCCTTGCTTAAGTTAGTCTAGCTTTTCCTTATCTAGCCGAGCTTCGCTAAGGAAGTAAGTTTCTCCAATGTAGATCTAAGGTGTCAATATGTCAGCTATCTAGCTTGAAGTTGACTGACTTCAAATTTGGAAGTTGGTTCTTGAAGTTTTTTTTTTTTCATCTATTCTTCTCTTAATATTTTAAATATAAAATGTCTAAGAGAGGAATGAATTTACCGAGATCTTGAATTTAATTTGGTCTAGCACCAAATTTCTTGAGTATTTGATGAGTATTTGCTAGATATTGAGTACGTGAAGTACAAAGCTCCAATTGTTGAGTTACTCGAGTATATGATTAGCTCTCCAAGTATAATTTGATAAAGTCCCATATTTTTCACTTTGCATGCACTTGATTTTGCTTCTTTCAATATTTTGTTTTCCTCTATTTTGTAGTTGCAAAACATGGCTTTTGATCCTTGACATCATTCTACGTTCATCGTACCTTTTAGGATGTTGAATCCAATTTTGTTAATTGGTGATAGTCGAACCTTATTTGCAAGATTGGCTATGAAAAGTAGAGAACTAGTAAGAGAGATGGGGAGAAAATAGGAGAGAAGATCTATAATTTTGTTGGTAGAAAATAAAGATGTTGAGATAAATAAGTTGCCTTTTTAGGCTTGCCCTTTAACCCCCTGTTTATTGGTAGGAGTAGAGGCAAGGCTATATTACAAGAATTATATTAGAAGGTAAATACATGAATGACATAATATGACCTAATAAGATCTTGTCACAAAAAGAAAATATGATAATTATATCTCTTTAATTACATGAGATATGTATAAAAGCTTTCCAGATATAAGATGAGCCACATGTAGTAATTGATTGATGTAGTTTAATCTGATTGACCTATGGATTGATATCTTTTATTTGAGTTGACTTGAGCTTAGTATGAACAATTTGGGGTATACACCCATGATTGTTTTCTTAAGTTTTTCGCACGCACACACACACTTTTGTATAGATATAATTTGTTCTTTTCATTTGTCTGATTTTGTGTTGATTGCTTTTTAAAGATGAGACATTAAACTCTCACTCTTTCTCTTTTGGTGTGATTTCTAGCATGCATCAATCTGATATTGTTTGTGAGATTTGAGCCTACACTTGTTGATTAATTGAGCATCATCAACTATTTGAGTAGAAAGAGTTTTACACCCCCTTTTATGTTGTCTAAGCTTGGCTCAACTCATGCATGCATGCATACCCTCAGTGCTAGCCGACGTTGCCTTTGCAAGAAAATACTATCCTTTTAAAAAGATGAGACTCAAGAATTCTTAGTGTTATCATTTATCTTAAAAAAATGCTCTTATTTTAATATATGTTTATTTGGCGATCTTCTTTTGTGACATTGTATTATTTATCCTATTATAAATAGGAGATTCTCATACTGAATAAACATACAAAATCTTTTTTTTTTCTTCTAGCATGGTATCAGAGCAAGGAAACCTTAGCTGCCGCATCCGAACTTGTTGCTCATGTTTCCACCTCTGATTAGCTCATATATATTTACTAAAGCTTAGGCCAATTTAGTTTTCAAAATTTAAAATAAGTTGGGGTTAACTGATATATATATATATAGTCCAACTTAAATGGAGTATTACCATCATCATTTATTTTAGGAAACTATTCTTATTATGACTAGTGATCCAAATTTAGTGGTCGTCTAGGAGATTTTTTTTCTCCTATTATAACTAAGAGACCCTCCTAGTATCCTACTAAATGAATATTTCAATTGATCTAGCCTTAGCCTACACTATAGGTAGGCGGGGCTTGATGTAACTCTCCTTCAAATGTTAAAGATGATCTAGCTCTTATCTATTTTACAGGAGGGCATGGCTTTCATCCACTCTCCTTTAAATTTTAAAAGCGGTACACTGGCTTTAAATGCAATGAGGCGTGTTCTGCGCTACACTCCTTCAAATACTTTCAACGACTTGATTTTATCCTATGGTTGAAATTTAGTCACTTGATGCTGTTAAAAACAATTTATGGCTGTTTGAAGTAGCGCAAAAGTTGAGTTTTGAACAATGACCTATAATATTTGTGAATCAATGAAGTTGAAAATATTTCTTGGTGATTTTTTCTTTCATGGCGAAGAGCCAATAAGATTACAATTTAGACTATGGTATAACATGATGTCAACATAGTCCTGAAACGTTGCCAAATTGCATATATTCTCATGAAGGCTCTTTCTCGGATAAATTTTGAAGATTTAAGCTCCAAGTTGGTAGTAATGTACGTCTACCTTTTAGTTTGCTGGGAGTGTGTTGACTGTAACAGCCGCTCCCCACCGACATACCCAAACGACACAACTGTCCCCGGTCCCACCTCGCAACGATTCGTCCACCGACTCAAACGATAGAAACCGTCGCCTCTCATGACATAAAAAAAAAAATCGGAGCCCACAGAGTGTTGAACTTCGTGTTGTTAAGAGACAGATTATGGGACTCTTGGGTTTTCCTTAAATGGATTTTGGTCGTTTGTCAGCAGATTTCATATTTTCGTGTATTTACTTGTTGAATATTTTAGAAGGCTTGATTTATTGTAATAAGAGGAAAGGAGTGATTCTTTTTCTTCTGTAAATAATCCCTCACCCTATTCGGTAGATTGCTGGAATAAAATATTCTCTTATTCAAATTTTTTAGTAGTAAATATTAAATTAGTCTAGGCTGTATGAAAGTAAGGTGGAGGAATCTAAATGAAGATTGAGATGATTCTAAGAAACATTAAAATTTTTCTAGGTAAACAGAAAATTACTTTTTTTGTATGGCCCCAATTCATGAAATCTTGACTAAGCTTATTTATGAAATTTGACTGAGGCATATGACCTGTGATCCTTTAGTGATGTTACAGGAGTAGAAATAACAGGTGCGTTGAAGAACGTTCTTGCTATAGCAGCTGGTATCGTAGAGGGTATGAATCTTGGAAATAATTGTATGGCTGCCCTTGTTGCACAAGGTTGTTCGGAGATAAGATGGCTAGCGACTAAGGTATCAACTATATCTATTCTCTTCTGTCTTGGTATGTTATGTGCTGGCATTTTGCAAGAAGGCTGTTCGACAGGCTTGATTTTTTTTTTTTATCCTCTTAATAAGTAAGAAATGGCAGAATGCTTTTAGCCAGCTTGTTGTATGATTTTGTTACAGTAGATATGGTGTTTAATTTGGAAATTAAAAAAAAACATTTTAATAAAGGTAGCATTTGCAAAATTCCTATAATTTCCCTTTGACAAGTCAGTATTGTATACTTACCTTTCTGAAGTGATCATTAACTTTCTTCTAACGGACAAGCTTCTTTATGATATGTAGATGGGAGCGAAGCCTACAACACTGACCGGCCTTTCTGGATCTGGTGACATTATGCTTACATGTTTTGTAAATCTTTCACGGAATAGGACTGTTGGACTGCGTCTTGGATCAGGGGAAAGACTTGAAGACATTCTAAATTCAATGAATCAGGTGAAACCTTATCTGTTTGATGATGGAGTGCTTTATTTGTAAAGCCGACTTTCACTATTGCTTTATTGAATTTATATTAAGCAGGTGGCAGAAGGTGTATCAACTGCTGGTGCTGTTATTGCGCTTGCTCAGAAATATCACGTTAAAATGCCAGTGCTTACTGCTGTTGCTCGTATAATTGATAACGAATTAACTCCAAAAAAAGCTGTTATGGAGTTAATGAGCTTACCTCAGGTTTTTTTCGATTCTTTGACTATTGTCCATTTAGGTTATGTTTGGGACGGCTTGTTTACTACTTCTTGAAATAACTTTCTAGTACAAAAATTTTAATTTTTATACTAAAAATTGTTTCAAGAAGCAATAAAAAAGTCATTCCAAACGAAACTTTAATGACTAACAATCACTTTTAGTTGACGTTGCCATTGAAATCAAATCACTACGACCATTCAACCGGGTAGATTTAAAAAATGCTGATATGTTTGGAACACCAGTCTGTGACGGATTTTGTTGAAACTCTTACTACAGTATGTTTGCTTTTGCTCGTGCCATTTTGCCTGGTCATCTGAGGGCCGTTTGTTAGGCCAATAGCTTAGGCATTCTAGCTGAGAGGCATTAAGGTCTAATGGGTGGAATTAGTTGTTGTCAACTCGTTATCGTGGCTATTCAAATTTATCACTCCTTTACGGAGCTTTCTAGAGGCAGAAATGTTAGCTCTAGATAAGAGGGTCCATGAAGCTAATTACCTTTTAATTGTGCAGTCATAATGTATTTAGCTTTTAGTTATTTGTTACGCATTTTGTTAAACCATGCAATTGTCATTAAAGCCACGTGGAAGCCATATAACCACAAACTGATTTATGTGGGTGATGGGGACATCAGATTTCGACATGTGTACCATCGCCGGGGACGGCGATTGACGGCTTCGATTCAGAGCCTGTATTTTTGATGCTTTAGTTTTCTTTTCATGATTTTATTTCTTGTTTTCCATTTGTACCCCTATGAGGGATGTAGTGCTTATTGTAGCCCGAGGGCATCTTTGTCTTTATGCATTTTATTTTATTGTAAAGCCTATATAAGAGGCTCTTGTCATTGTATTTGGATTATTGCTTAATTATTAGATCTTTAGAAATTGCAGACAAAGTTGAGATGTCTAATGATGATATCATTCTAGTAAACATGACTATTTATGCTACTATAGAACGCTAATGCAGCTGTCGTTTATCCTTACTATTCTATTTATCTTTCCTGTTTAAAACTTGGAAGTCTTTTCTTCTACATCATTGGGTACATATGCTTTGCAATTTGTTTGGCTAACTTCACTTTTTGCAATACCTGCCAAGTTTGCAAATTCCATTGTTTTATTGATGTGACCAACTTTGACTAGGATCAAATTAAAAGAATGGGATGCATCTTGGAAGCAAAAACAAAAAAAAAAGAGAAAAAAAAATGCAAGAATACAAAAATAGGGGCAGATTTTTTATTATCTCTTCAACAATAATGAAAGATACAAGTGATCTACTATTCGAAAGATAGATCAACTCTTCCACAAACCCAAGATGATGCTAGGAAACTCACAACAAGCCGTATAATAAACTTCAACAAAACATAAGCTCAAAATCCTAGACCAAACTCCTTAAATATCTATAACATATAATACACACAATTACAACCTTCATAAATAACATAAATATAATTATAAACCTTCCTAAACAATTAAATCCTTCATAAATAATATAAACACAATTAAGAAACCTTAATAAACAATTAACCCTTTCTAAACAAATAAACACAACGAGGAACCTTCCTAAATAGCTCCCCATTGAATAGGAACCTTCATAAAAACTCCCCCTTGATTAAGAACTTTTCTAAACAATTCCTCCTTAATTAGGAACCTTCATAAATAGCTCCCTATTGATTAAGAACCTTCTTAAATAGCTCTATCTTGATTAGGAACCTTCCCAAACAGCTCCCACTTAATTCTTTACATAATGAATAATAGCTCCCCGGCCTAGCTGTGGCCCCCTTGGCCTATCATAATGTGAGAGACAAATTTCTAAAAGGTTGCCAGACCTCTATTCTATATTATGTGGTATTCAGATTCTATATTGCTTCTACGTACATGACTTCATGTGTGCTTCCCATCTAGCCTGAGCAAGAGTAGCAAGTTCTTCCTATCCATCTTTTCCTCCAGTCGAGTGAGCATTCTATGTGTACAAGTCAGGTAGAAATCGAAGGGGGTAAGGGTTTCGTGTGTGCATTATTGGCCGAAGTTGAAACGAGAGGAGTGGGACGGATGAATGAAGTTGGCTTCTTGTGAATGAAGTAGACGAGCCAAAGGCGGTTCGTTCATTCCCTTCCTGTGCTCGTGAAAGGATTGAGCAAGAAAGAGAGCGAGGGAGAAGAAGGAAGCACCTGTTGGAGTGAACAAGGGACGGATAGTTCCTGCTTGTGCGTTCCTTTCGGCCGATCCAAAGACAAGCAAGCAAGGGGCTGGTCATGCGATCGGCTCGACCAAAGCAAGCAAGGTCCGTTTCAGCGGGTTGTGAGGCCGAGATCGGGTGCTTGCCTTGTTCATGCGAATCAATGTGTTTTATGTTTAAAAATTATTGGTTCTTAGAAGAAAGATTGTACGAAGTTGAAGGAGAAGGGAAAGAGAGTTTTCTCTGAGGAGAAAGAAAACCTTATTGTGGAAAGGTGTGAAGAAGATTTTGATGTATAATTATTTGCAGTTTCTTATAATTTGTACAGAGATAACTCATGCTTGATTCTGGACACTGGTGTTACCTATCATATTTTTCTCACTCTAGAGTGGTTCTGTTCATACATGGAACTTGATAGCGTTGTAGTGACTATGAGAAATGATCAACCTTGTCATACCATTGGTGTATGGAGCATCTTCATTAGGCTGTATGATAGTACTGTGAGAGAGTTGATTGATGTGAGACACGTTCTAGATATCAGGAAGAATTTGTTGTCTATTGGGGCCTTAAAGACCAAAGGCTATAAGATAGTTATTGAGACAGGAGCTCTGAAGATATATCATGGAGCGCTGGTTTTTCTGAAGGGAGTTCGTCACCACAACCTTTACTATCTTCAGAGTAGTATAGTAACTGGAATGGCTGTTATGGCCGATGTTTCTTCTGTAGCCACTTTACGGCTTATGCAGCTAGCTTCTGTTGGAGAGGCTTCACTTAAGGCTTTGGTGAAGAAAGAATTGATCAAAGGAGTACCTGCAAGCTCGATTTATGTGAATATTGTGTATTTGGCAAGAAAACACATGTATCTTTGGTACCGCTATCTATAATAAAAAGGGTATCCTTGAGTACGTTTACACATATATTTGGGGTCCGACAAAGACAACATAATTGGATGGGGCGGAAATATTTTCTCTTTTATTGATGATTACTCTAGATATGTTTGGGTGTACACCATGCAGCGTAAGCGCAAAGTTGGCAATCTTTATTGGTTTCAGGCATGGAGTCAAGAACTTCAAACTTTATGATTAGAAAGAGAAAAAGATTGTCATTAGCAGGGATGTTACATTCGACGAGGCAAGCATGTTGAGGCCTCGGAACTCAAAGCAGGTGGATAGTATTATTGGAACCGTAGATGCATAGTATAAGTTGAAGTTTGGTGCAACTCTATTTGTTCCACAGAGTCCGATCACTTCTACTTAGGTACCTGATTTAGTTGCAAATCAAGAGGTACATATAGACAATAATCAGAAAGATGTAGAAGACGATGTTGAGGATGAGGTTCCTACTCAAGAATCTATAGCTAGGAGCAGGACCAGGCGCCATAATATCCCCCAAAGCCTGCTTGGTTGAGGGATCACATTGGATTTACACTTTTAGCCACAAAGGCTGAAATTCCCGATCTCTACAAGGAAGTAGTCGACAGTCCAGGTGGTGATGTTTGGAAAATGATTATGGATGAAGAGATGTAATCTTTTCAGAAGAATGCTACTTGGAGGTTGGTGAAACTTCTTTTAGGAAGGAAAGCTATTGAGTGCAAATGGGTGTAGGCAAAGAAGGAATGATCTCATGGAGCTGATGTGCAGTATAAGGCTAGGTTGGTGGCAAAAGTCTTGCACAATGGGTAGGGATTGATTATGATGAGGTGTTCTCCCTAGTGGTTAAACATCCCTTGATGTATGTTCTCTTAGCACTTGTAGTACACTAAAGTCTGATTCTGTAGCAGCTCGATGTGAAATTACATTCTTAAATGGGGAATTGCAAGAAGAGATTTACATGTTATAGCCGCCTAGATATGGAGCCTCAAAAGACCTAGCTTGAAGATTGAACAAGTCTTTATATAGGTTGAAACAATCACCACAACAGTGATATAAGAAGTTTGATCGGTTCATGATATGAGAGGAGTACACAATAGGCTACTATGATCATTGTGCATATTTTAAAAAAACTGACCAATAATGAGTTCATCCACCTTCTATATATTGATGACGTGTTGATTGCATCTGTCAGTTAGACTGAGATCAATAGGATGAAGAAGCAATTGTCCAAACATTCTGAGGAGTTGGGTGAAACTCGTAGAATTCTTAGCATGGTGATTCTTAGAGACAAGGCAGCTGGTAAGGTTTGGATCTCACAAGGATCTTATGTTCGAAAGGTATTGAAAAAGTTTGGGGTTGACAACTCGAGTAAGGTTGTGAGTCTACCCATTGCATCTCATTTCCAATTGAGTTCAGATTAGTGTCCTAAAGATGATCGGGAGAGGAAAGATATGTGATCAGTTCCTTATGCTAGTGCAGTTGGTAGTATGTTGTATGTCATGGTTTGTACTAGACTAGACATTGCACAAGCATTTAGTATTGTGAGCAGGTTTATGCATGATCTGGGAAGGAGCCATTGGTAGGCTGTGAAGAGTATTTTGAGGTATCTGATGGGTACAATTGATATAGGCTTGGTGTTTGAGAGGTAGGCATCTGTTGTTGATTTGTGTGTAGGCTACACTGACTCAAATTATGTCAGTGATGTGATAGGTGTAGGTATATGAGTGGTTGTTTATTCACATTGGCAGGAAGTCCAGTCAGCTGGAGATCAATTCAGTCTATTGTTTCTGTCTACTATGAAGGCTGAGTACATGACAATCACGAAGGCGATGAAGGAAGCAATGTGGATGTAGGGCCTATTGGATGACTTAGGAGTTGAGCAGGAGTCTCTGAAGATATTTTTTGACAATCATAGTGCGATATTCTTGGCCACAAATCCGGTTTATCATTCTTATACTAAGCAAATTGATGTAAGGTACATTACAGGAAAAACACGCATTTCCGAAGGCCAAAATCCATCAGAAAATTATCTTTCATGTGGATTTTCGGTTGGAAATTGTTCGAAGGTAAAACACACTTCAGATATACATTTTCGGCAGAATAATTCTGCTAGAAACCTTTTCGGTAGATTTCCTGGCGGAAATGTGTCCAAAGAAATGACATTTTTTTAATTCATTTTTCAGCGGTTTAGCCGCCGGTCATTTTCACCAAAAATTTGCCGACAGATAATCGACTGGAATTTTCGGTGGATTTAATGCTGGAAAATTTGTCGGAATTACCAGTGAAAATTCCGGTGGATAATCCACCGGAATCGCCGGTAGATTTCTTCTGCAGGAAAGCTAATCGTAATTCGTAGTATCGAGATTTCCGATGGAATATCCGTTAGAAATTTGCCTGCAACCTATAGTAGAAAGAAAAAAAAAACACATTTTCTTAATTATTGTAGAACACAACACTCCTGCAATCATACAGTCAAAACATACATAGATTATCCTCATATTTCAACATTGAACAGAAACATTGATGCTAAAGTAATAAGATATTTGATCAGAAAAAAATATTCTACAATTATCAAACAGTTCTAAAACAAACATGAAGTTTGTTATACAATAAAAACGCAACATAAAATCTACAAACATATAGTATTAACACCTCTAGTAATAAAACATAGTCTACTCATAATCTATTTCTTCATTCTCCTCCTCTGCCGATGTTGGTTGCTTTCCACTGAACTGCTCCATTTTCTTTGCATCTCCTCCAATATCTAACTTTGCTGCATTTGCATGTCAGCTTGTGATTTTCGGACTTAATCCTGCTCTGTTGTAAGGGTAGCCACCTGTTGGCTATATAAACTATCATGGCTGCTTCCTGAGAAGTTGGAGCAACCAGAGATTTGCCCCTCATACGCATAGGCTTGTGAGCCTAATACATAAACTCGTCTTTTCCACACTTCATCTACTGCTTGCGACCAAGTGTGATAATCAGAATAATCTACAGATCCTCAAGAGGATCCCTCATCTGTTCTAGCTTGGCTCTCTCGAAGACTTGTATACTCTTCATACAAAAGTTAACATAATATAAATCAATTTATACATGACACTTAAACTTTTAAACTTATATATTCACGTAGGCCCTCCTTGCTCGCTCATCTACCTATTGCTAGTCCTTCTGCCGCTTGTGAGCATGACTATGCAACTCAATAGCGGGTAATTCTCTACTCAGCAGCTCTCTCTGCAATATACTTATATTAGCATTCATAACTAAATAAGTTATTAAAATTTGTTAAATTTTTTATCAAACGTCCCCTGTACTTAGTGTATTGAACTGCCCCTGGAAGAGTTGCCGGAAATTTCGATGGGTATGAGTAAGCTGACGAACATTACGGTGGAATGGTTCAGACGAAATTTTCACCGGAACATTTCGGTGGCTTTAAGTAGACCGGTAGGTTCTCTAACAGATTTTTCATCGAAAGAGCCGACGAAAATTTCAAACTAGATTTCTTCAAAAAATCCACTGGTATTTCCGTTGATATTGTCGGCTGTCTTATATCCATCAGAAATTTCGCCAGAAAGAAATGTTTTTCCTGTAGTGGTATCACTTTGTTCGGGACTTCATTGATGAAGGAAATATTCAGTTGAAAAAAATAGATACGAAGGAGAATCTAGTAGACATTATGATACGATTTGGAAGTGAAAACAACACAATAAACAAGAAGAAGTGCATGAACACAAAGATAGGGGTTGATTTTTTATTAATTCTTCAACAATAATGAAGATACAAGTGATCTATTATTCGAGAGGTAGATTGGCTCTCCCAATCAATGTAGATGTCGCTAGGAAGCCCTCAAGATGAAAAACTACATTAAACAAACAAAACACCCATACTCTCATAACAAAATAACTAGCCTTAAATAAGCTCTTCCTATTTCCTTCTCAAATAGATTTACTCTCTTAATTAATTCTCTCTCTTACTTTGAATTCAAATTGGAGTTAAAACAACAATTAATTCCCCTATTGCCTTAATTAATTTTTGTCTTCTATTTCCATTTAAAATTAAAATTCTTTCCTTCAATTCGAATTAAAATTTTCCTAAATAACTTCCCCTTAATTCCTCCTCAATTATAATTAAAACTCCCCTAAACCCTTAAATAACTTCCCCTTAATTTCTCCTTTCATAATAATCTATAGCTTTATTTAGCCCCACAAGGGGGGCCGAAATCCCCACTTAGTGCTGCTGAGAGTTTCGCCCAGCCCAAGTGCTGATTGGGCCCTAGCTAATTCGCTTGGTTGGATCAGCCTCTCTGCTCCCCTTCTCCCGTCGTATTAGAATACTAAGACATAGTTAGTGTATGATATATTAATTAACCTTCCAGAATTGTTAACTATTTGGTTCTTTGGTATTCTTGCATATTTGGCATGCATGTATGTCTGCAGCAATATAGATTTGTGTGTATGTGTTAGTGGCTTTGTTCGGGATTCCATATGCACACTAGTATAAACGAAACCCATCAGATGGCTGTATTTTGTGTATTTATTTATGTAGGAGTGTGGTTATAAGTATGAAATTGTATGTATCCTCTTTTTCTACCTAGTTATATATGTGACTATATATGTGTTTCTCTCTCTACCTATGTCCTATTAATCATGTCCAATCTTAATAGATTAAGGGTGTCCATTACCCGCATGCCTAATTTCAAGAGTAATTATTTCATTTTAAGATGAGACTTGGAAATTGAAACACAAGACCGTTTTATATATATACAATTACATTTATTATTGTGCTAAACTGACAATTATTTGAGGTAATGGTACGGAAGTATTTCTTGTCAATCGACTGTTTTTTAACTTAGTCCGAGTTCTTTGCCAATTTTGTGTGTTCGAGGAAGATTTTCCTTCATTGTTTACATGGTATTTGTAAATGTTGATGATCTGACCTGCACATTTATTTGTTTTAAGTTCATAGCCACCCGATGCCTGAGAGAACTTCTATTGATTTTAGTTACCTGATGCTTTGTTCAATTTCAGGTTGAAGAAGTTTAAAGCAAATGCAACTGGGGAAGTTTTATTTTTTTTTTATTTTACTGAAGACTTGAAAAAATACATCCCTTTGTTCAACTTACGTGAAGTTCAGGAGCCTTTTTGGGACAAAATGCACATGCATGGTCTTCTTTTCCTGCAAAATTTGCAGAAGCTTGAACTTACCGTTAATCTTAATGAATACTCTTTAAACATGAACGAAATCACCTCAGCATTGAAAGGGCTATTTCATCATGATTTTTTACATTAACGTCGGTATATTTTGTAAAATGTTTAAGAGGTTGTTAAAGAAGTAATTTGATGAGTTTTCTATCCAGAATTTGGTTTGATTGCCCCAAAAAGAGTTTTATTGACATTAAAATAGGATGTTACAACTTATACTGACAATCACGGAACTCTGAAACTTACCAGTAACTACAAACTAATAGTTTACAGGAATCACTTGGTGGGTTTATCAGAAAGTAAGTGCAAAGCCTAACACAGAAGGAAAAGGACTTCTTTAAGAAAAAGCAACTGCGTATTAGCAGCTGCTTCTTCAATCTCCCTACTTACTGTAACAGAAAACAAGATGCTGCAAGTCTCTTTCTACTAGCTATATACATCAGCAACTAAAGACGCCTTATAGCCTAATTTTGAAAGAGATCGTGATCAAAATTCAAAAATTCCTCATAGTCCATGAATTCCATGCCATAATTCATGAGTGAAGAGTACAAAGCTAATGGTAGTCCATTGTGTTCTTGCCCAAGCTCTGCTGCCGTTTGCTCCTCAGATTTTTTTATATCAACCTTAGGCGAAACAAAGTAGTCAGAAGCTGAATCAGCAGAGGTAAGATTGCTAAGAACTTCTTCCTCGCTTTCTTGATTGAGAGATGGGAAAGAAGTTAGAGTCTCTTGTTTAATATTTTCTCCATTGCTTGATTCGAAGCTAATGATGCAGAGCTCTCTGGAAGGAGTAATAGTGGCCTTTTTTGCGTCAACGCACGTATGCTCGCCAAAGTAGGTGATGACATACAAGGAGGGATCGTCCTCTGATCTCTGCACCTGCTTTGAGGCCTTGCAACCTTGATCAAACTTGTGTGTGCATCTGAAGTAGCTTCTGCAATAACATGACGCTTGGTAAGTGATCCATTTTGCTCTCATTTAAGTATTTCAGTTATTATTTTTTTAGGGATAAAAATTTGTTAAATTTCATTTAATTCGGTGATTAAAAATTGATCTTGGCCTTAAGTATTTAAAGTGCTGAAACTATTAGTAAACCTTTATATTACCTTGGGTATTTGGCACTGAAGATATCCTTTTGCCCATATTTCCTCCATGTATGTCCGTCATCAATTGTGTTTGAAGTAATCCTTGTCCATGAATATGGACTCCCTCTGCTAAAAAAGAGAATTATAAAAACAATGGATACTCTCACTTATGAAAAGTATTAAAGCAGTGTAAAAAATTCTCCTAAAAGTTCAAGGTAGTATTTTCAAATCTTTTAATTCGTTGTCGGTAGAATTTACCAAATCTAAGAGAGAAAAAAAACACAGAAGAGGATGATTAGTCTGTTCAATTACCTTCTTCTGTAACCTGCTTTCCTTGTGCTCTGCATCTTGCTCTTTCCTCCTACACCCTCCTTGTTACCAGTAACACAAGAAGAAGGAATATTCCCCCCAGACTCCAGCGCAGCCATTGCTTTACTGATCCTGCACATAATCTCTTCAGCAAGAAGTCCGGCCGTCGCAGCCTCCGGCCGACCGTTCTCCGACGAAGCAGCTTGAAGCAGAGAAGCAAGCTTGGCGACGGAATCCAGCCCCCGGGCCAGCTCTTTCATGGCCGCGCTCTTCCAGATCGGCGGCGACAAGATCTCTTCGTCTTGGGAACCCATTCCTTGCGCTTTTTTTTTTTGGTTTTGTTACTCGGTAGCTCTTAGTTTCTCTCCTATGTGACTGGAGAAGGCTGGGCTTTGCTGATTGGATTTATTGTGAGAGAGGCATGTGGGTGTGGAATAAATTAACGGAGAAAAAGGAAGCAGCTTGGAAAAGAGGCAACGCGTGGAAATAAAAGGCTTAGTAGAGTGCGTCATCTGCTCGACGTCATTTGGTGTTGTCAGCCATCGATGATCATCTGGGAATTCATTTTTTTAATCTTAAGTTAATTGGTGGATTATCAGGTTGCTATTTGCAATAGCTTCCCCTCCTTTTTTTTTTTCTTAATTCAAAATGAATTAAATTATGACGTAATATTTATAATTTTATTGGGTATTGGCTGGATACAAAAATTGGACAGTGTTGGGCTAAATGGCAGGGCTGGATATTTAATTTGAATCTTGATATATACTTAAAAATTATCTAATTGAGATAGGAGTAGGGATGCATATTTGAATTAAAAATGTTTGAAAGTAAATTCAGGATTATCTAAAATTTGATTTTAATAAATTTATAGTCAAGTTAAATGTCTCCATGAGTAAAATTCATTAATATCAAAAGTGATATTATTCAATTCCAAATGAATCAAATTAAGACGTTTGAAGCATGATTGAAACTTCGGTATATTAATTGGGAGATCAAAGGATCCTTAAATCTTGCATGTCTATTACCAAATCGAGCATCTTGATGAGATGATTCTAACGAGCTTAAAATTACTAACTTTGTTATTACAAGGCATTTAAATGATCAAAGAAATATCTATGATCAAGGAAATCAATTTAGACCATTTGATAGTGTTTTAGATTTCAGCTATATTTATAAAAAAGTGTCACTAAAAATTGTAAGTAGAATAGTCACTCCTAACATGAGAGGGGGATGGGAAATAAAACTTAAGATTGGACCTTGACATAAAAGCAAATAGAGCTTCACTATTGATGCACCACCATCTCTCAACTACATTTTTTGGATCACCATTGTCCAACAATTATTCTCTAAGTAGCAATTCCGGACTTGTAGCACCCACCATTCCAAAACTCAGCTAATCGACTTAATTTTAGTATAGTCTTTCTTTATGAGTCATGTTGTACTAAATTAATTCTAGATAAGTCCATAATTTAATTTGGGGGAAATAAAATGCAATTCGCCAAAATGATCAGGGAACGTCATAACGTTGGGGGCATCAGCGATGCGACATTGAACTCTATGTTTGGGGGTTGGTTTTAGGGATGGGTTGTGGCGCTGTGAGGCGCTGTCGTGGTGCTTAGCTCATTTTTCATGAGATTTGGTGAGTGTCATGGCACTAGGTCAAAATGAGTATTTTTCAAATAATAAATATCTTAATCCATTTGTTAAATACCTAACCCTCAACCATCCTTGCTGGAGAAGAGAAGGATAGGAAGAGGAAAAAGAGGAGAGCAAGGAGATCAGAGGGTTTGGAGGCGAGAACCAAAAAAATTGTCCGTCAACCTAATTAAGGAAATTATCCGGCTCAAGGTAGGAAACCTACGCTTTATTTATGATTTCAATGCCAAAGTTTCTATAAAATGGCATGCTCAAAAAAATGTCTTTCTAAAATGTGGGGAAACTTTTATTGTGTAATTTTTAGGATAACATTATGCACTTTATTTTGAACAAGTTGATTATACTAACGCAAATTTCAACCAATTGATTTACTCTATTAATTTCTAAATTTTTTATATAAATATGCCACTTCTAAAACTCCATGTAGTTGACAAAATATTTTAAATTAGCATTTTATACCGTTAGCTAATTTACTAATATTCTGAAAGATTTGAGTAGGTATCTAAAATTTAGGGTTTTTTTTGTAGAACTAGACATTGTTAACACTTTATTTTAATTCTTTAATTATACATTGCACATGCATCATTATATATTTCATGGCATTTTGGTGTAATAACTTGAAAATTTTGTAGAAATGATTTTAAATTGAAAATATGAAAATTTTGAAAAATTTGAGCTGGAGTGTTGCGACGTTGTGCTTGCAAGCACAACGGTGCTAGGAATCGTCAAGAAAGTGTTGCTACAGTGCTGAGCTCTCTGAAATTTTTGAAAATAATTTGACGCAACAGTGCATTGTTGTTTTATATGCAGTGTTGTGGCGGCTAGGTGTGGGAGTGTTGCGGTGCTAGGCATTAAAATATATATATATATATTGAGATCATTAAAAGTTTAATATATCAGAAATAAAATAATCTAAAAAGTGATAACATTTAACTCAATTTAAGGTAATAAAATTTTGATAAAATAAATGAGAAATTGTTTTATTTGAGATGGCTTTTTTATTGCTTTCAAAATTAAATTTTAGTACAAAAATTTAATGAAAGTAGTGAAAAAGTAATGATCAAAAGTTATTCAAAACTAAACTTTAGACTTGATTTGGGATAATTATCTTATAGTTTTCTAAAGCATGAAATAAATTGTTATACTAGAAAACAGCTTAAAAAAAATAATAAGAAATTTGTCAAAAATGAAATCATAATCATCTCAAATAGAATTGTATAATTTAAACAGAACTGTAATGGACGAAATTGTTTATAAAAGATACTATTGGCTTAATTAATTTTAGCAATAAAACTATAGCTGAAAAATACTATATTTGTTTTACAAAATCATATAGTGCCTGCTTAGGAGTTATTGTCACCACGTCAATTGTTAGTGGCAACGGTCGTCTCTAAATTAGTAAATTGTTTAAATAAAAATCAAAACTTAATAAATAATATTATTAATGAGAAACAATAGCTACTTGAATAAATACTGTCATTCTCTCCAATTAAATTTATAACCTTCCAACGTGGATTCACGAAGCAAATCATGACACATCCAATTTTGTTTTCCAAGCCAAAACATTTTCCCATTTAATAAATCACCCGTTTATTTTTACACTGTAATTCTTTTTAGCCAACGGTTGCGGGCTGAAATATAAGCGGAGATAGAGTTAAAATTTTTCGTCTCAGTGTTGTACGAATATCTAGCACACAAATAGAAGATAAATGAAAATCAAGATTTTTACGTCGAAAATCCTGAAAAAGGAAAAAAAAAAAAAAAACACGGGGCCATGTCTATCTGAAAAATATTATAGTAGTGTTTGAATTGATTACAAGTGACTCACTTGTTCCCAAAATCAAGGACGATCAATTTACAATAATCAACCATCGGGTTGAAATCCAGTTACAAACGGAGATCGGAAATCTGGCGACGTTTGGTGGTCGCGAGCTTCCATTGACAATATGGCAGAAATATGACGTTAATTGATTGTTGGGCAAAACTCTGGCGTTAGTCGGCGACTGGGCAGAACTTCAGTGTTAGTTGGTGGTCGGGCAGAACTACGGCGTCGATCAACTACCGGGTGGAAGTCATGCGGTGGTTGAGGACGTGTCTGGTGGCAAGAGAGCTCTCTTGCTTCATTCTCTCCTCTTCTTGCTTATTTTCTTTCTTCTCTTCTCTTCTTGTCCTCTAATTAGAAATGAGAGGTCTATTTATAAATTTATGAGAGTGACATGATCAATAAATATGAGGAAAATCAAGGGTAAATTGGGAGTGGTTTGAATGTACAGCCGGTGTTGAATCCCTTAATCGTAGACCGGTTACTGGGCATTTGAATGTCTTAATAATATTGGAATTTGATGATCTTGGGCTCGTTGGATTCATCTCGTCAAGTCGCTCGATTCGACTATAAGCAAGTCACATTTGAAAACTATTTGGCAATTCAAATTATGAATTGAACCTTCCAAATGCACATCGGGTATTTGATTTGGACCTATTTGAGCTCGTATCACGTTGAATTTGGTGTTGTTGGGTTCATATTTTCGATATGTTCAGCTCAACTATAAGTTTGCTGAAATCGGAGTTCATATGGTTTACGATTTAAATTTTGAAATTTTCAATTTCATTTTTACCTCGAGATTTGTGCCCAATCAAGATAATTTTTGATGATATATCACCAACAAAACATTTTTTTTCTTTTGAAACGGGGTATCTACCCGCTGCCACCCCCAAAAGAAGGCGCGTGGCAGTGTAACTAATCCCTCGGTGAGCATACCAGCAATCAACCTCACAGGTGCAGGGCCACAGTTATTTTCTTCTCATTTACAAAGTCTCGCCCCATGAGAGAAAAGTAGACCATGGGTTGAGAGTTCCCAATCGAGCTCGCCTACCAACTTCAACTAAATCAGGCGGGGTAGCTGGCAACTTGGGGCTGTGGATCGGCTGGTTTTGTTGCAAGACAATGATGGCAGCTGCTAATCCTCTCATTGGATGGCCTTGCGGGCAACCAAGGGAACTCTGGCCGGACATGTTGGCTCTATGTTGATTTATGTGCTTGATTAACAATCTGAGTCATATTTTTTTAGCTTTTGCCTCTATTTTGGTCGCTTCCTTGCTTTGTTTCCTCTTCTATTTTGATTCTTTTTTGGGAGGTATAAGTTTTTGATTGGTCCTCTTCTTAACTTGTTTGAGGTCTGATTTTTTTTATATAACTTATATGTAACTTTCATATCCTAAATATATATGAGCTTTGGCCCTCAACGAGGCGTGGTAGCCTACCAAATATTCCTTAAATATAATTAAAGCCTCGACTGTTCCGAGATCTGATGTCGCACAATATTTAATAATTTAGGGGCAGTTAAATAAAGTGAGAATTGTTGGTGATTTAGAAATATATTTTGGAGCATATTTCTCGCGACGTACAAAGCAATGTGGATGCGGATTTGGTCCCACATGTGATGATGAAGTCGACTATAAAACCACGTTAGGGGTTTATATTATAAGTATAATGCAAGTGGCTCAATTTTTAATGCTTAAAATTCAAAGGGTTGCTGGAGAAATCTCAGAGCTTAATGCGCCGTGTTCAAATCCACGCCATTTTGCCACCAACGAGATTTAATAATTAAATGAAAATCTTATTCAACTATTTGATCCTTTCATTAACTACCGAAAGAAATATTTATTGCAACTCGAATGAGATGGGGAATATGGACAAATAATGTTTAATTATTTAAGGTTTCTTCTCCCTGAAGTTCCTATAATCCTATCCTATTAGTTGAGTCTTGTTCGGGCAAACTCAATAGTACGCAAG